CTACCTGCCTGCCTATCGCTATATTTAAAAAATTGCAAAGTCCATTCTCACAAAAACACACTCCACGGTTCTCACACATACCACCCGGGTGCAAAAAAGCCTAATCCTAGGGAGTACGTCCCGGGACGTCTCCGACACCCGAGTTCAATACTACATTCACACTCTAAGTTCATACCTTTTTGCTGAAATCGATCGACAATCGACAGTGAACTTAACATATTTCATTTTCATACTCTTTCGAATATTCAATGTAATATGTACATGTAATAATTTAAACTACTCATACAATTTTTAACTTAGTAACTTTATATCATTTTCAAATGACTCGACTTGCATTTTGTATGCATTTACAAATAGAATTTTGCAAAATTTAAAAAATAAATCTACAGTTTAATCGACACAAGGTCCACGACCTAACCACACACACACGTGTAACTTGTGTCGATAATTCACTGTCAATTTGTCGATCGCCAAATATCTTAAAACTAAACCGTGTCCACCTGCCCTAACCCATGCGAGTAGCATCTAAGCACTCGAATGAGTTAGAGCATAAAAATGAACACGGCCAACAATATCTGGACCTACCAGTTTTCTTCATGTGTGCTGAAAATCCTGAGCTAAAAACATGATTAGAAACATGCTAATAAAGTGTCTTCCAGCAAAAATTGACTCTAACTTTAAAAAATTTTCAAAATGGAAAATGGAAGATCACTTTGCAAAAATCTAAGTATCGATTGTTTCATTTTTAACAGATTTCTGATATCAAAGTAAATTTCTAAATGACTTAAACATTCGTAAATAACTTTGATATCGAAATCTGTTTCTCGCGATACTTTCTTGTACATTTATTTAAAACATTTTCACGCGTACGTAAAAATTGAAAGTGACTCGATAACTTTATCAAAATGACTCGAAAAGTACTGTGAAGTCGGAGGGTCATCCGACTTCTATGTACTAATTTTAATTTGAAATTGTAAAGAAGTTAAAACGCGATGTACAAGAAAACCCTGACCTGAGCTAATAAATGAAATAAACAGTGTGTACGAATTTTACACGATCGTACAGTCGTGGTCACTATGCTCGCTCAAATAATAAAAATACAACCAGTTCCCGTGTCGTTTCGGACCATTCGTCCTGCGACATGATGGGAACCGGAGGAACCGTAAAGCATGCGACTCACCGATCGCTGACTTGCATCACTGCAGCTTGGCTCTCGATAACAGCTTGGCTTGGCAACAGCTTGGCAACAGGTTGACTCAAGTTTGATTCGATTGGTACAAGCAGGATTAGGCAGTTGGTCCTGTAGATCCGCAAGAAAGGCCTTCTGAAAACACACAAGAACCACAACGATTAATTTGGAACAGTAGTTGTTATTTTTCAATGTATTCAATTTTACTTGTGTAAACATGCATTTTTAAATTTGCAACAGAAACGAAAATAAGCATGCAAAACTACAGGGACTACACCGCAAAACTTGGAATATTTGAAAAAATGTGTCAAAATATTTAGGTAACTATTTTATAAAACATGCTAAAACAATTGCAAGCGTGTACTAAAACGCGTGGGTGACTACACGGTACAACGCACTAAAATACTTGCAAAAGTATGCCAAAACATGCAGGTAAAATACACTAAACACATAGGTAATTACACCATTAACCGTAGTAAAACACTCATAAGCATGTGTCAAAACACGTAGGTAACCACACCATAACACACTAAAACACTTGCAAAAGTACACTAAAACACGTAGGTAATTGCACCATAAAACGTAGTAAAACACCCGCAAGCATATGTCAAAACACATAGGTAACCACACCATAACATGTCAAAACACTTGTACAAGTATGTCAAAACACCCAAAAAAATACATAAAACACTAGTAAAAATACGTTAAAACACTTAAATAACCACACCACAAAACACTCTAATAAATCCGTATACGTATGCACAATCACATGTAGTAACACACCGGCAAGCACTATGACACTTGTAGAATCACACCATAAATTATAATAATACACTCCCATATTTATATTAAAACACTGATAAAACACACTAAACACTTGTACTAGTACACTAGGTAACACATAGATCAACACACAATCCGTTAATTAAATCCTTGACTCGTACCAGTGAACGTTGAAGGCGTAGATCCGACCTCCTCGGCAGTCGCGATAAGACTGATTACACGTGACCTTCTCGCGGCGCGAAAGGATAACAGTGATAGGCGATTCGCGACAGCCAATCTAACATCGTTTAATTAACCAATAGCGTGCAGCTACCTTTAATGGAACCTGTAAATGTTATAAATTATTTTATTATTATTATTTTTAATATTTTATTGTTTATTAATTTATAATTATGATTGTAATTAAAGAATTTGTTATTTTTATAACTTTTCTTAGTGGATACCTTACAAAATGATTATTAATTATCACAATTTAATTTATTTGTTTATAATTATTAATTTTTCAATTATTTATTTAACAAATGATTGTTATAAATATTAAAATTTTTTGTTTTTATAACTTTCATGTGTGCATGTATTACGAAATTTTTATTAAAAAAATTTTTTATTATTGCGTCTATTGAAATTTATTATATTTATAACTTTCACGTGTGCATACTTTGCAAAATATTTTTTTCGCTATTACTGAATTTTATATTGCTGTTATTAATTTTACCATAATTCTCCATTATGTTATCATTGTATCTATTAAAGTTTATTATTTTTGCAACTTTTATGCACAGATTGTTTGCCCTCGATTCATTTTTTTAGGAAGTTTCTTTCTTTTACCAAAATACTTAATAATTTTATATTTCTGTTATTGCACGTGACATTTTTAATTACATTATCATTCCTTTTAAATTTATACTTACCTCCATCGTAATAACAGCGACATCTGGCGGTGTTTGTACTTGTCAAGTGAATTTACTGCTAGTTTGCTAACGTTATAAAGTAATGTAACGTATGTAAAGTACTATTGTAATGAGTGAAATTTAATTCTTTCTGAATGTAGTTGCTTGCAAAGCACGTACAATTAGGCTAAAGATTAAAATTTACCTACACGAAATGAACTGATAGATGTACTTGTCAAAAATTAGGTATAGTAATTTATTACGGCTAAAATGTCCTACAAAATTGGACAACGCGTCGAAGTTCCTGGCAAAGACTGTCAAGGAGTTATTGCTTATATTGGCCATCCAAGTTTTGCTTCAGGAAAATGGATCGGAGTAATACTTGATGAGCCAAAAGGAAAAAATAATGGCACTATTAAAGGTCAATCCTATTTTAAGGTAGGCTGTGTTCTTATACACAAATTATAAAATAGAGATGTAATAATAATTCTTTCATATACTTTCTATTTTCATTACACAGTGTGCTGAAAATCATGGAATGTTTGTACGACAATCTCAACTTATTTTGTTGGATGAGGCAGGTAATAGAACAGAACCTGCTAGTCCATCTTCAGCAGGTAGTAGTGCCACAACACCGGATGAAACAAGTGCAGCACGTGCTAGAAGCCGGTTGAATAGGTATATTCCATATTTTTATCGTATTAAATAATTTTATTACATCATTCTCATTTTTATTTTATCTGCTAGGATAGTCTTGTATACCATTTAACTATATACATTAACTATATTGTCATTAATTTCATGCTAGCATTAGTACACGTCGAAGGAATGAACCTACTGCGTAAGTTAATGTTTTAACTCATTAATCAATGCTTTTAAATTCCAAACCAAAATGCTTATTCATGTCGTAAAGTTTTTCATATAAGTAATAATAAGAATTGGTTATATGGGGAAAGTATAATTAATAGATTGTTAAAATTTATATGCTGGTCATAAAAGAGTACGGAGAAAAACATCTCCTGCCCATGTTACCCGGCAGCAATCTGACAAGCTATCTGGGTAAGAATTTGTGCAAATCGATCATTGAAAAATGCCTCAATATTTGTCACCATTAAATGCTTTTATGTATGTGTAAATAATAAAGAATCATAATTGCTTTTCTTAACTTCCTCTAATTGTATATGGTACACTAAGCATCTTTAATTGCAAGCTTGTAATTGTATTGTAATTTTTATACTACATATGTTATTGCAACTATATGATCACTCTATAAAAAATATGGAAACAAATATAATAATAAAGAGTTTGAGTTTCAATTCATTAACTCTTGATGATGTGATACTAAAAAGTATGACTTTCACATTTAATATCAGTGTCACTTTGCGTTGTAATTTATTATTGCACTTGTGGCTTCTAAAAATATATGTATCTTATATGCAAATATATGTATAACATATTACTGCTGCAAGAAGACTATTATAATTACTCTTTGCAGTTCACGGTTATCCCTGGCTGGTAGTAGGACACTTTTAAGTGCTCCAAGTACAGAAAGTTTATCTGGATCACAACATGAACGTAAAGATGGAGGAGAGTCACTTATACCAGCACCAACTTCTACTAAAAGAGCATCATTCATCGAGGTATTGTTCTTCTGTTTTAAATATGATCGTATTATTTTCACATTATCAATTGCAATAAGTTGTTTTATTCATTATTTATATATGTGAACACAGTAAATGGATTATTCTGAAGATTCAACAAGGCATAAATATATGATACAGTTTTTTGAGTCTAAAGCTACACATAAATTACATATAACAGAATGTTACTAATCTTATATTCAAATTTCTGAACCACTTAAAATAATTTATATCATTGTTAGTATCGTGTTCAAAGAATATTATTCTGTGACTCGATAATAAAATGAAAAATGCTGAAAAATTCTTGCAAATGTTTGACAGAACAATGAGATATTAGATTTTTAAATTTGAGTACATGCTAGATAGTTCCGTTGGCACAGAATGATTCATATGGGAATGCACGTACGTGTTTCAGAAGTCCCCTAGCACGAGCTCGCCTCCCGGCAAAAAGCCAAAGGCCCAAGATGATCACAATAATGTAATTAATACTCATTAATTGTAATATCTCAATTTTTCTCATCTGACCTTAAACTTTCTCATAATAGTTGTTTGTTGATCATAAGCATTGTAACACATGACTTCATAACAACTAGCATCATGCACTTTGATGGATTTATCTCTTTTTAATGGATTATGGAATTAATTTATCCTCTATCATGTTCACTGTTGTGTTAAACATCTGCTTTGTTAATTCAGTTCTGTGATGCTTTGATAGTCTAAAACTTTTAAGAGGAAATGGTATTGAAAAGCATAGTAATTTTTGTAATGATTAGATACTGAATTCCTCTTAAAGCTTTCTTACCGACGTGATAATAACAACTTTTTCTTTCATAAAAATCTCCCTAACAGCATTATGGTACAAAGGTATATCACTATTTGAACCTTTTCATTTTGTTTTTTAATTTTTTTTTACTAAGAATTAGATATCCCTGATACAACTGCAACTATAAATATAACACTTATAAATCAATAGGATATTATAGATGACTTAGCTGACACTGTGTCTATTATAAAATCATGTAACACAATTCAGATCATTGATTGAATTCCCTACACTTATTAGAACTAATAGAATAATTGGTGTAGCTTGTTGGTGTCTTTTTATCACAATTAATCTCATTAATCACTTTAAAATAGAACTAATTCTACTAAATGTACATAAAACAACATTCCTCTAAAATATGTCTCATATAGGAAATTTGGGGTGTTTTTTTCATTACCGCAAATAAAAAATTATACTCTTTTTGAAGAATATAAGACAATTCTTTAACAAAATAAATATATATCCAAAGCGTGATAATAAAAGAAACACCCAATTTATATTATGCTGTAGTGCCATTTATTGTTCGTTTGTAATTTAGACAGGTTTTGTAGAGACTCTAAAACCACAATTTGTACCTGGTCAAGTAATGGCAGGATCTGCAGCAGCTGCAAGTCTAGTAGAAGAAAAATTGTCGCATTTGCAGCTTCAACAAGAAAATGAGAATTTGAAATCTCAGGTAAGTCATAGAAAATATTTATTTCTTCTTTGAACTAATTTAATTTCTACGTGTATGACATATAAATTTTACAGGTCCGCGATCTTACTGAAAAAGTAGAAACCTTACGAGTAAAGAGAATGCAAGATAAGGAAAGAATGAAAGACTTTGAGAAAACAAAACTTCAACTAGAACAACTTATTGAGTTTAAAACCAAAGTTATGGAGAGCCAAGTAATACAAATTTTAAAGAAATATTTTAGTACATGAAACAATATACTCGTTCGCTAATGTTCATATTTTATTAATGCAAGGCTAGTCTTCAAAGGGAACTACAACGAGCACGTCAAGAAGCAAGGGACGCACACGTGGCTCGAGAACAATTCCAAGAAGAAATGGCAGATCTTGCGGAAACTGTAGAAATGGCAACATTAGATAAAGAGATGGCTGAGGAAAAGGCTGAAACATTGCAGATTGAATTAGAACAATTGAAGGAAAAATTAGAAGAACAGACATTGGATTTAGAAATATTGCGCACGGAAATATCTGAACGAGTAATACATTGTACTTTTATTATTTTAATATATTTATCAATGTAGAAATAATGATATGAATGATCAATTATAGACCGCGGGAGGTGGTTCAGCTACTGGAGCTTCGAGTTATGAAATAAAGCAGCTGGAACAACAGAACAATCGGTTGCGAGAAACGCTCGTTAGAATGCGGGATCTTTCGGCACACGAGAAGCACGAATTTCAGAAACTTCAAAAGGATTTGGATCAGAAGAAATCAGAGATATTAGAATTAGGTCGTACAAAGGAAAAATTATCCGCGAGAGTAGAAGAAATGGAACATCAGATTGCAGATTTACAAGAACAGGTCGATGCTGCATTAGGTGCTGAAGAAATGGTTGAAATGCTTGGTGAAAAGAAGATGGCATTAGAAGAAAAAGTTGCGGAGTTAGAAGAAGCTGTATCAGATTTGGAAGCTTTACAGGATATGTCTGATCAACTTGCTGAATCATCGAAAGAATTAGAGTTAGAATTGCGTGAAGAACTTGATTTGGCTCTTGGAGCGGCGCGTGATGCGTATCGCCATCGAGATGCGGCTTTAGAAACATTAGCGGATCGTGAATTGACAATTACGAAATTCCGCGAGCTTACTCATCAGTTGCAGGAGCAATGCTTACAATTACAACAACGCGTACAATCAACAGAAACGTCTAAACTTGGAATTGGAGGTGCAGAGCAACAATTAGCAGAAATTTTGGACTTCCAAAAAACCTTTGCTGAAACACGTGCACAAACGAAAGCTGTCGATCTTGAATTACGGCGTTTAGAAGCCGAAGAAGCCCGAAATCATGTGAAGTACTTATTATCCTTTATGCCTCCTGCGTTCTTAGCGCGCGGTGGCGATCACGATGCTATTTTGACACTTTTGCTTATACCCCGTATGATACAAAAAACGGAGATACTTATATCCCAAATGCGAGACAAATACAGGTCTTTAGATAAAATTGATAGAACAGCTGTTGTGAAGGGTCATACGGTAGCGCAATACACTTTCAGAGCTCGTTTATGTTCATACATGTACGCGCTACAAACATTCCTAGGTTGCTTCGATTCTGCTCTAAATGTTTGTACTCCTGAAATGCTGCTTAAGGCTGGAGCAGCTTATCCAGAAATGGCTGCCCAAGAAAAATCTTTAGATTGTTTAATAGATTTAGCTAAAAAGGATCAGTTAGATGAAAATCTACCAATGGACGCTATCGAGAAGTGTTGCGGATACTTCTGTACTATGTTTTCCGTTTTGTTTGGAGAAACTAATAATCAAGCACGTTTGGTGGTTAACGGTACTAGAATGTTAGACAGCTCTTGCGATGCTATCATGACCGACGCTGCTGCGATTAAAATTTTAATTCAAGGAGACGGTGGTGACATAGGTTTACTCTGTCAACATGCGGAAACTACTTGTGAAGTGATTCAACAGCACTTAAGATCAGCTAGAAGACGGGTATTGACGGATCATAGCGCTGCGTACCATGCAGCGGAATCTAGATTAGGACTGGATAAAGACTCCACCGAACAAATGTTTACATGTTATCAGCATGCCGTCAAAATAATGAAGACATTGCAAACATTATTGAAGAGTGCTGTACAAGCAATTATCACAAACGGAGACTTGGATACAGGACTCGCCACAGACAAATTAAAAGAAATGGCTTCTATATCGTGTGAGAAAGTTTATGATACCGAAGACGTCGGTCCTGTAGCCACGATTAAAGGAAGCTTAACAGTTATTCAACAATTAGCAGCCAACTTTGCACAAAAAATGGCGGAATGTGAAAACGAGCTAGCAATAAGTGGACAGTTATCATTGCAATTAGAACAAAATGCAGAAAATGAAGCCGCACAACCTATCAAAGTAAGAGCACAGGCAGCAAAGAAAGAAGCAGAAGAGACCAAGATACTTAGCAGAAAATTAGAAGCCCGAGATAGTGATATACGCGATGCGAGGTTAGCTCTTAGAGAAAAGCAAGAGGAATTATGTGAGATGATTTTAAGGAAAGAGGTCGTCGAGAAGAAACTTGCAACTCAACAACATGAACATGAATTAAATGTGGAGAAATTGAAGAGGAAACTAGAAGAAACACAAAATCAATTGAAACGAAAGGAAAAAGAATTCGAAGAGACAATGGATCACCTTCTAACCGATATCGATAGTTTGGAAACTGAAAGAGGCCAATTAAAGGAAAAATTAAAATCTATTGGAAAGAAAACGATGATGTCTCTACCTGTAGGAGAGAATGCAAGTGGAGGTACAACAGCTACGTCAGGAATTCAATCTATGGATAACAAATTCCTGATGCAAGAAATAAATGCTCTCAAAGAAGCCTTAGTCAGTGAAAATCAAATGAAGAAAAAATTAATGTCCGATACATTGCGTAAAAAGTTGGAAAATCTAGATCCAATAACACCTATACCAAAGCAGGGATCAACTAATGTTAAAATACTGGAGTTGAAAAAGAAGACCAATGATCTTACCAAGGTAAAGTTTCAAACATTTTTACACATCTGTTCAAATTTAACCAAGAATTATTTTGTAGGATATTAAACAAGCCATGACATTCCCTGCTGTTCCTGATCTAAGGCGTAAGAAGGTATTAGAAAAAACAATGCCACTACATCAACTATTACAACGCCAAATAATCATGAGAGACTTAAAAGATCGGGCGGATCAGTTAGTTGTAAGTAATTGATTTCTAAAGAGATATGCTCGCATAGGTTTGTCTCTTGTTCGAGATTAACAATATTTTATTTCTTTTAGGATGAAGTTCGCGAAGAGATCGTTAAGAGAACAGCAGGAGGAAAGGCCGAAGCTAACTTTGCAGTATTTCCAAATCGTGAAATGGCAGCTGCAATGCAAGAAAATCAATTATTTGCAGCAGAAGTTGCAATACCCCATAAAGGTTCAGAAGAAGTTTTTACCGTTAATGTAGGTACCCACGAACTTAGAAAAATCCATACTTTACTATGCTATTAAGTTTGTTAGCTTTTAGTATTACGTATTTTATGTGGCAGAATATGCTACCGTGCAATTACTATCAAGTACAGTGTGGCTGTAAGATATTAATTCGTAGCTTTTTTCATATTTACTTACAACACAAGATGTGATAGCCGATAATGTTCTGTTGTAACTTATACACAATTAATCTATTTTATACATAAAAAGAGAATAATTAAGTTTTAACATCCGATGAAAGGATCAAATTAAATCTAGCGATAATGTATCTTTTTTGAGCGTGCGATTTTATTTATTTGATCGGCTAAAGCACGATGACCGGTGCATCGTAGCTAGTAGTCTGTATCATTTTGTTGTTTTATAAATTCAAATATCATTATTATTAACAATTCGAACAATAAAGTTCTGCGCCTCTATGACTTCTGTATAATATCTTTTATGAATTATCAAATATATGACTTAAAAATATTTACATAAATATCCTTTACATCATCCCATGTGTCAAGAATATCGCAACACAATTCTTGGGAGCAGGTATATCGTCCATTTTGAACAATATGTTACTACCATTGTGGATAACGATAATAATTGTGTATTGCTATACGAATTGACACTTAATGAAATGGAAACTATAATACAATGTTTCAATTTTTATTTATAGCAATAAAAGAAGCAAATAACCGTTGATATATCCTTCATTATTTATGAAATAACGTATGCCTTAATTACGGTCATATTTTATTATACATACACACATGTATATATGTATACACACACATAAAATGTTATCTGCATACAGGGTGGTTCTCGTATTAAACAATGTAATATTTATATTGTCTTTTAAACAGACAGAAAAATCATTAGTCTCGAACGAAAAATTGACCATCATAATACAAAACTATTTTTTTTTCTTTTGTGATGGACATTGAGGTCAACTTGTATTTTTTGAACAATACTATATATTTTTATTTTCATATTATAACAGTACATGAAAAGATAAATTTGAAAATTCGATACATGATGGTTCACGAATCGGTCATGTCGATTCGTAAAACGAAGTACTGAAATGTAAACGTAAATAGACGCGAATGTATGAAGGAACATATAAGGTGAAGTATGTTTATTTGACATTGTTTGTATTAACTATAATTACGAAACTTACTACAAAATATTTCGGCAATAATATTTACATTATCGAAAGATTTCAAGTTTGATTGAACATACAGGACATCATTTACTTTTAACCAAATATTTCTTTCAAATTGTCTACTCTGTTGCTACCAGTTGCCTCGTTCGGAGATCAATGGATAGGTACGTATGATCCATATAACTGACCAATTCGTACAATAAATTTCAATCTTTTAGACTTTTATTCGTGAAGATATTTACAGTTAATAGTTTGTGACATACCAATTAATAGTATCTTTTCATAAACGCATAATACGAGTGTGCAGAAGCATACAGAGCGATATACTATTCGGAATTTGTAAATTCATCTTTATACATACCATAAAAATACAAGAAATAAAAGTATAAGCTGATTCCAAATTGCGAAATTTTTTTTTTAAATGATCAGTTTCCCGTCAAAATCCAATGAACTTCTGTTCGAAACATTTTTTTTCCTTTTTGCTAAACTAACATCATGGTGACTGATACGAGGATCACTCTGTATATACACATATACATATCAGATAGCAGTAAGTGCATATATCATTAATTATTCATTAACTTACTCGTTCATTCATTCTCACTGCATGGTAATACACACTTTTACTCATTTATTTTGTTTTTAGTTTCCCTCATTTATAATAATAAAAATAATAATAATTAACCATACATTCATTCAAGGAGATTTAATGGTGTAAATCTTTTTTGTTCTTCACCAAACATAAATTGTCCTTTTAAAATATAATAATACACGTAAGATCCAGTCATATTTATCCTTGTATTGTGGATCACATTAAGGCTGACTGGATGTTTTCTTTAGAATGTTTCCACAATAAGAACATGATGAATTAATAACGATCAATTATACATTATTTTGGAAGAAGTGCGTGGAACATGGACGTGAATATTGGCGCTACTAGTATGGTCAGTGTGAATGAAAATTCCCGATGACAGAAACGAGTCTTCGAAAACTCTTTTCTAATCACTGTACGTAACGTGACTTCGCATAACACGGCTCATTATACACATGAACAATCGATTGATCGATCGATTAAGAATTTCTAAGTCACGTATTGTAAACTTAATATCAAAGCAATAGCACGAAGAATACCACTGCACAGTCTCTGCCATTAAAACTACACGGAAGAAATCCTTTGGTTGAATTTGGTTACAGAATTACTTTTCATGCGTTTTTGTATTGTTCTTCTTCGTTTTTTTTTCTTTTTTTTTTAATTATCTTATTTACATGAAAAGTAAACCTGTAATCCATTTTCAATATAAAAAGTCTGTTCAACGTTGATCTTGTTTATTATAATCGACTGAACGTACTCACAGAAAGAAAGAGAGTAAATAATCAAGTTCGTTAGGACAAAAATCCCAGCAATTTGCTCGTTTCTCGATTGACACGGTGTACCTAAAAATTAAACTGTTGCCTTAATGATCGTATTATTTGTCAGTACTTGATCGAAGATACTGCTGTCACTTACTTGTATGTACGCATATATATTCCTATGTGTACGTTATGTATATATATATTTATATAAAAAAATGTTATCATCGGAGTCAATACTATCAAAGGAAAATCTTTGATACCATTGACATGGGGACTTATACAAGAAAAATAACATTTCTCTCAAATTGCACACGTTATATTTATACTATATAGTACTGAGAATGAAACAAAAATTGGGAAGCAACAAACTGTATTTATATCTCAGTACAGTTATATTTTCTTCACACTCTCGCTTAACCATTCACTCATTCTCGCGTGTTTCTTTCTATTTGTAGAATAGATATAAAATTTTGTATGTTGTATTTCATCAACTACCCCGAATATTTAAGAATAGTCACAATGTTCTCTCTTTCTTTCTATGAAAGATATATGTCGATTTTTTTAATTAAATCACACGTTACACCGTTATGTGTATTTTCTTACAAACGTCTTCGGGGCATCAAAACCTTTATTTCAATTAGTATCAACGGTGAATTAAATAGGTAATAACAAAATAAGAACAAGCCACCTCTGGCTGATCTCACTTGGATTTTAAGCCCAAAAAGAGGTGGATCAACCAAAACTCTAAGCTCTAAGAATACACTGAAATTTTCACTGATCAGTGAATTCACAACCGTGTATTCGTGGCATTGTCCTTTATCGTGTACGATACGTTTGTAATCGTAGAACTCCTCTGTCGTATAAACTTAGAGGATTGATTGATTGAACTCTTTGACATGGCATTCATACAAAGTTGAGTACCTGATCTTGGACACTTTTGCAACTGCAAATAGGATTGATGCAATGACGATCGGTTGTAGTTTTAACGTGCTCCTAAAACAAAGAATATGTTATACTTTACACGAATTGAAAGCAAATCAAGTTAAAGTATTAAATACAATATATAACGATATGCGTGTAATTTGCTTTAAAATATAAAATAAAGCACCTGCTTGAGCATTGGGCTGAGTGGGTGCTTGACCTTGGGCTTGTCCTTGACCCTGAGCACCTTGAGCTGCTTGACTTGGACCAGCTGCAGTTGCTCCACTATTAACACTACTACCTACTACTACTTTTTGTTTTAACATTGTCCAATCGAACGTGTAATCATATTGATGATTTAATGTACGAAAGAGTATACGGAAAAGTTGACGAAGATACATGTAATCTGGACTTTCTTCGAAACGTAAACCTCTCGTATAATTTAAATACATCGCAAATTCAGCAGGAAATCCCTGGAAGATTTAAAAAATGTAGAAAAGAGTTTTGAGACTGTACTCTGTGTTTAAATAAGAATGCTATTATTCGTGAACGCAAAACATACTTTACATAAAACTTCTACGGGTGTGGACATTTTCTTTTCACTTATTTTTTCGTATTTCTGCTTTTTGGTAGCAGCTTTAAGTCCTTGCCAAGGCAAAGATCCTCGATTGAAATACATAAGCACATAACCAAGTGATTCCATATCATCACGACGGCTCTGTTCTATTCCAAGGTGAGCATTAATTGAAGCATACCTTGCTGTGCCTGTTAAATTTTTATCCTCTCGGTACATTATATGTAGTCTCGTACGATTGTCTCTATACTTTTTAGCTAATCCAAAATCAATAATAAACAGCTGAAATTTTGCAAATCACCACCATCATTTTTCAATAAAGATGCATACAAAAAGTAGAGAATAAGCATAATCTAAATCTACTGAAGTAATACCTTATTACAATGACGACCAATACCCATTAGAAAATTATCTGGTTTGATATCTCTATGAATAAAATGTTTGCAATGAACATATTCGATCCTACCAATCATTTGATCTGCTAACATTAAGACTGTTTTAATTGTAAACCTTCTTGTACAAAAAGTGAAAAGATCTTCAAGAGATGGACCAAGAAGGTCCATAACAAGTACATTATAATCTCGTTCTTGCCCATACCTGTATGTAAAGAAAGAGAGTACACATTTGTGAAATTTATATGTTATCAAATAATATTATTCTATTATTAAATTAATTTTATTATTATTTTTATAAATTTATCTCATGCTTAATATTTATTTGCAAAGATAATGTCAAAAGTGATAGTTACCAACGTATATGAGGTATTCCTATACCGCCATGCAGAATTTTATATAATTTGGATTCGTACAAAAGTTGTGGATGCCGAGCACGCACAGGCTCCATCTTAACAGCAACTTCCTAAAATATCATGATAAACATTCTTTAATTTATCGAAGTTTTCTAAATATCTACATGCTATACATTATATTGTCTAAACAATATATTTGCACATAATATAACATATGAAATAAGTTTTGTTCTATTCACTTATAGATTACATAAACTTAATGTTCATCTAATTGAAAAATACTATAACATATTACAAAAGCATGTATAGATATTATTTACATTTAATGCTTCTTAAGCATACGAATATATATTATAATACATAAAGTATGTATAAAAGATATATAAACCTTCATCTATAATGGACTTTTAAAACGCTTTAAATGTTATATTGAAATTTATATATGTATAACTTACCTACATGTGTACTTTATTTTATATACAAATAATTATGTATAAATTTATAAGACATATATACAAGAGGTTTAATGTTACATATCTATATGATGACAAATATTGAATACTATTGTTTATCGAAACATCAATGATGACATTATCTTGGATCTTGGGTTTCTGCTTGTCCTATTTATATATATACATATACGGATACTACATGTGTACACATATATATACTCATATACACACACATACAAATGATACATGGAATATTTTATTTTACATTTATGTCAAAATTGATTGTTATTTTAATAGCTGTTTTCATACTGTTCTATTTTACTACTTAATGGTTAGATAAGCAATTATGACACAATAGTATGAATTGTAAAAGAAATTATGGCATTATATTAATGAGCATAAAATATAAATATCATAAAAAATAAAATGAATATGTTAAATAAAAAATTTGGTGAACTCACATTTAAAAAAACATATAATTTGGTATTTAAAAATTAAAATAACACAAATAAATGATATAAACGTGACAAAAACAACATTGGTATGATATTTTGTTTATAACAAATGTGTTTCAAGTACACAATGGGATACTACATTATTTTAAAACCGCTTAAAAGTTGTTAAAAATGTTTTATTATGCTAGCTAAAAATATATATTTTAATTAGAAAGAATAGTCTATGAACGATGATTATCTCACGTAAACAATATGTGCATCAATATCCATTTTTACATATAGAGGTTAATCGTTGCAGAAGTTCGATAAACACTTGTATTTTAATAAAATTGCGTATACAATTTTTGAAAATACACATATTCTGTGCAACAATTAAGTAACTGTAACTTTAATAATATAAAAAGTTTGCGTTTTACAAAGTTTCTAAGAAAAACAATGTGTATCTCGTGTAACCAATATCCGTATCATAGGAAACGTATTTCATACGAAGTTTAATAACGATATCATTAAAACACATTTTCTGCGATTAACATTACATAAATTACTCGTTGAACGGATAAGAAAAAATGAAAAAAAAAAAAAATAAGGAACTCGAGAAGGAAGATGTGCTGGCAGGTCGTCTCACATGAAACGGTACTCCTTACCTCGCCATTAGCGATGTTGATACCGAGGTAAATGTCGCCAAAGGATCCAGAGCCAATCTTCCTCATCAGCCTGTATTTGCCACCCACGACAAAATCATTCTTTGCTACTGACATCGCCAACTGCAACGACATATTACTCTTGGCTTCCCTATTTCTGTCCTTCCTCCGCTAGAACCGACGGCGGACTCTGCGACTGGCTCACGTCGGAATCAAACCTGATTTAAAGTACTAAGCGTACCCAGTAGGACTGATACGCCATATATTGGCAAACCCGACGATGTAGAGTCTTTTCGAAGCCGTATTGATGGAGGATTTTCTTCGGTAAAATATGTTCAGGAAACCGTAGCTAAAAGTCACTCTCTAGTGGCACAACAAAACCCCACTAACACGCCGACATTTTCCCTTTCGCTAGAAGCACGAGAGCAACTGACGTTGCGGAAACGATGCGTCACGGCGAGCGGCGTTCAAGTCAGAGTCCTTATCGATGGATCGTTGCCGATTAATCCTAATATCTTTTTCGTCGAATCACGCGGAAATCTTTTCTTTTATTAACGAGAAAAATTTCGTCGGGATGCAGTGTGAGTTTAACATTGCCACAAAATTTCATTGTTCAAAGTGACTCGCTTGAATTCGCGGTACTAGATTTTTCTCAGGGGCGTATCAATATCGTCATAGTTTTTAACCGAACGATATTTTTGAAAGTGATGCCTTAATAAAAAGGAATAATCTTCAAATATGTATGATTTATTTGCTTGATTGTTGTTCGGATGTCAAATAGGAAGAAAAATTAAGGAACGACATCCAATAATTGTTAATATTACCATAAAATTTTATGCGACAGTAAAAAACTAGACTAGCAAATATAAAAGTCTGAAAACAGATAATTTCTTCTTTTTTGTATAGCAATAGAATACTTGTAATAATATTTATTATTAATATAAAAATGTAATTGATTATTCGAAACAATATATTTTTTGAACTATTCATATTTAAATTTGCGTCGGTACACCACTGATATACCGGAATCTTGTGCTACTTATTAGGAACTGCTACAAAGTTATGAAAAATGCATAAAGAATAAGAAAAAGTATTAATAAGTATTTTTTCATTTATGAACAGCAAGGAAAATATATATACAGTATTTTAAAATGTAAATGTTTTTAGCGACATCTAATTGTAAATTGTACGCAGTTGTATTTATATGGTGGAATCGGTGAATGGTTGCATTAGGTGGAAGAAGTTACGTGATTTCCTTATGTGCAATTTATTGTAATTGATATTAAATCAAATCGTAAACAATCAATGGCATATTGTTCTCATAAAGCAGTACGATTGTTTTCGTCAGCATTTATGAGAAATGGTGTTATAGGTATTGAAAGTCTTAATAAAAAATTTATCATGACAAGTTGTTCGCGGGTTGAGAAAGTCTTGGAAAAGCTTCAGAAAAATCCTTTCTTCGACAAATATGCTGAAAAAATAGCGAAATATCAACAAACAAACCCAGATGAGTTTTTGCAACGTGTTGAAAGTCAAGAAGAGAAACTACAAAAAAAGAAAGGTATAATAACCTATATAACGTGCATAAATGTTTAGTATGCGGTTTTTTAAATGAAAATTAATTTGGTTTTTGAATCTTTATCTTACATGTTACTGTTAAAAGAATAAATTTTTATCGGTTATTATTTCATATGCTTAATTGTAAGTATTGTGTTAATTTTTTTTTGTATACGTGTTGTTCGATCAAAGATAAACAAGAAGAAAAAAGTAAATTTTATCAAAGCCAAGCAAAACCCCAATTGGACCAGGACAACCAACCTAGACACGCTCGTTTAGATGATATTATGAAGGTGGATATGATTCAGGATAAAACTAAGGATGAAATTATAGATATTTGGAAAAGTTATCATAAAGATAAAGATTATATATGTGGCATTTTGACTGTGGATCAGTTTGATAAAATGTTTAACCGTGGAAAGCAATACTCTACATTTTTGTTACCATTACCTAGAAAGGAAGGATACGAGTTTATCGTTAGCCAATTTTATGGATTAGAGGTTCATATGACGCCGCTTCTATGGTATCAGGCGCATAAGGAGAATGCACCAGAATGTTTAACTATGGTTCATTACACTGAATTCAAAGATGACAAAGGCATTATTCTTATGCGAGGCGAATTTGACTCAAAAACCATCAACGTACAAGAAGCACAGTGTTTAGCAAATGAGTTACAATTGTATTATTGCACAGAAAATCCCAAGAGACTACAACTACTGCAAACCTTTACTCACAAACCCGATGAGTTCAAGCACATGGATCTAATAGCACAATTAGAGACATTAGATCTGCATAGTAAATGAATACTTGCTTGTGAAAAAGATTGCAATAATTTAATTCACTGTTACTGATATTGTATATAATGCAGCTGAAATAAAATATAAAAATATAAAAGTTTGAGTTATTTATTTAAAATTAACTAATCAGTGATTCAACTATATTTTCAATCCAATTTAAACATTGTATACTCAATACTTCTGCAGTATTTTATGCAATTCTATTGTATGTATATCTGAATTCTAGTGACAGTTCATGCATTGAGGGAACCTATTCACTCCTCATGGACCTTTCCATTTCCAATAAAAAGAGCACAATCATCATGGACTTATTATGCGAGGAAAAATCATTTTTGTCATAGTGCATCTGAAAAGATGTATATTACTACTCCTATATTTTATGTTAATGGTGGTATGTAGTAATGATTATAAGAATGATTTCATTTCTATATAAAAATGTACATTAATTTATTTATATTATCTTTCTAGCACCTCATATTGGACATCTTTACACTGCAGTTCTAGCTGATACTGTAGCTAGATTCAATTCTATGCTGGGACATTCCGTGTATCTGTGTACAGGTACAGATGAACATGGGACAAAAGTTCAAAAAGCTGCAGATGCTGCAGCTGTACCTACTACTGAATATTGTAATCAGATTTCACATCAGTTTCTAGAAATGTGTAACATGTTTGAAGTAAAATATTCAGATTTTATTAGAACAACCGAAGAGCGACACAAAAACGCTGTTCATCATTTTTGGGTTGTTATATTGATCAGCTACTCGTCTCACGATAGATGTAAACTTATGATAAAAATACTCACGCAGAACTTTAATTTTTTAGGATCGTTTAGAAAAAAATGGACATATCTATCTAGGAAAATATGCCGGATGGTATAACGAAACGGAAGAAGCGTTCGTCTCCGATAAGGATGTAGTAAAACAAGTCAACGCATCTAATAACACTGAAGAAACACGCACAACGTCAGGAGACTTAGTAGAATGGATGGAAGAAGACTCATATAAATTTCGGCTTAGTTCCTTCAAAGATGATTTGCAATATTGGTTAAAACAAGGTATATTTGCGATTTTTTTTCAAATTTAATGAATTCATTGAAATTGAGAAAGAAATTATTACTTACTCAACATTGTGTTTAGAGAATGTAATATATCCAGTAATATATCGCAATGCGTTAAATTCTTATATGGACGACCTACAGGATTTGAGTATTTCTAGACCTGTCAAAAGAGTACCTTGGGCGATACCTACTCCTCACGATGAATCGCATACGGTATATGTATGGTTTGATGCATTAGTCAACTACTTAACTTCGGTAGGATATCCGGATGATTCGTTTCGAAAATTGTGGCCACCGACTATCCAAGCAAGTGTCTTCAATTTATACTAATATTAAATAGACTTTGAAATAGTAACCATTAGAATCTCATAATATTTATAAATACAGATAATAGGAAAAGATATACTGAAATTCCATGGCATATATTGGCCAGCATTTCTGATGGCTGCTGGTCTTGAACCACCGAAGCTACTTTTATGTCATGGACATTGGACAGTTAATAAATATAAAATGTCAAAATCTAAAGGAAACGTGGTTTCGCCTTTTACGGTCGCGAACGATCTTACGCGAGAAGGTTTAAGATACTACATTTTGAAACAAGGAGTAATAGATACAAACTCAAGTAAGGATATTTAATGTTACGCTCATAGCACTGTCACGTATGATAATTGGTTTCTTCCTTGCAGGTTACAATCCCGCGAAGGTTACAGAAATAATAAATACCGATCTTGCCAATACATTGGGTAATTTAGTGAACCGATGTTTCGGTAAAACTATTAATCCAAGAAAGGTAATACCTGATCCAGTTGAATGTATAGGTATTCTGAAATCTGACATAGCTATTAAAAACATAAAATCTTTGGAAGAATTAAGCGAGAAGACTGAGAAATATTACAAAGCGTATCAAGTGCATCACGCGATAGAGTCTGCGATAGAAACTTTACATATTGCAAATCAGATGTTCGATCATCATCAACCGTGGCGATTATGCAAGGCCAAGGATCCCGACTCGATTAAAGAATTAGAAGCTGTGATATCTTTAGCTTTAGAATCCGCACGAGTGACTGTTCTAACATTATACCCGGTCATGCCAAAGTTGTCGTCCGATCTCCTCGATTTTCTTCAAGTCCCTCTCGAAGATCGTACTTGGAAAGATACGAAACCGCTCCATCTGACGAACGATACGAAAGGAGGTAAATACGTGTCAAAAGAAATGGTGTTTTTTAAGAAAATAAAAAATTGATGAACATAAAGAGCGTTTGAATTTTTAATGCGAAATAAGCGTAGATCGTATCGGCAGGTACAGGATAGTAAGGATATAGTAAATCATTCAAAATTTAATACTCGCGTGGAAGTCTTACGCTAATATATTTACAGAAAACGGTCATTCAATTATATCGTTAGTATACATCAACATCGCACACGTGTCGTTCCGACGAAAGAGGATCTCTTTTGCTTCGTTTAACTAGGATATCGAAATTTTTGCTTCCCTTCCTCCGTTTTTTGTGTTTTGCCGCGTTTCTCTCTCTCTGGCCGGAACACAGTGCACTTTGCATCGCAGATATAGATGTACGGAAGAAGCTCAACGAGCATCGATCGATCCTCGTTTCGCGAGGATTTTCTTCGTTTGGATATACGACGCAGATTCGAGTTAGATTCGACGGGTTGTACGACGAGTTTTGCGACACGTTAGCACCTAAACGAAACATCGCTTAAAATGCAAAGGTACGTGGACCACGTCTTGGTGTCCCGTCAAATAGAAAAATAAATAAATGATTATGTACAAGATGGAAAATGAATTTGCGCGGGTCCTACCGCGATCCTAATACTAATAAGCTACGATTCGACAGACGTTACTATTAGTGCTTCGTATAATATTCACTTTTACATCGTAGATGCGCTATCAACACGATTTCAATAAATTACAATTGCTTTACGAGAACGTATTCTAAGTACTATACTCAAATCTTTCTACGCACGAATTTCTTTTCAAATTGATATTTTTCCTGTTCGATTTTTAAATTATCTCTTTTTTTAAATAGATCGATTATGTCTCGGGGATATGTCTTGAACTACCTTCCGGTGATTGTCTTTACGTTAATCTTCTTCTTTTTTGTTCGCTTCCTTTCGTTCTCCACGATTAAAAAAATACTCGGTAAAAAAATTCCTCGTTTAACTCGTCGTTCGTTCCGTGTCACGTTTCTAATACCGATTTTATACCGACAAGACGGAAATACGATGTTGAACTTTTTCCTTTTCTACTCGTGTCCGAATGATCCTAATTATCCTTAATTAGCATACGTTTTCGATAGCCAAAAGACGTTTCTTTTGTCGAGAAAAAGTTCGATAACGTACTCCGCGCCTCAACGAAATATCATAGATTTTGTAACGCGTTACCTGGAACGTTGCACGATGAACTTTCTCGTCAAGTTTCGCCACGACGATTACGATCGCTGTCCTAAACGTTTACAAAGTATCTTCCTTCCATTATTATAAGGGAACTTGAAAAAAGAAAAAGAAAAAACAGAATTACACATCGAACGCCCATAACGTTGTTCATTTCGATAAAAAAAAATTATTCGATAATTACGCGGCGCTAAACCACGCACGAAACCAGCGCAGCGAATGGAACAACGAAGCGTTGTCGATCTTCGCAATTTCATTTACGGTTTCGCGATAGAAAATCGTGAATCATACGCGCGTCTCGTTTCGATAGGAAGATCAAATTCGAAGGGTTGACTCGATTTATATAGCGCTGACGATGGTATCGCGGTGTCTTTGCGCCATAATTCCAACTTGACAACTGTCCGCGCTCGATCTCGGGCTAATATTGCACTCGATCATAGACCCGTTTCGTTTTTGCACGACCACGGAACGAAATTCACCGCATTCGCTGGTCGACGGTTGATTTCCACGACTTCGCGCGCCCTTCGTCAGGATTCTCTTGAACGCTTCACGGAACTCCGTGTTGAAGATGCTGTAGATGATCGGGTTGAAGGCCGAGTTGCTGTAGCCGAGCCAAGTGAGTACCTGTTACGAGTTAATTATCTTTCACTTCGTGTTTCTCTCCCTTCATCGATTAAAATATTCGTCACGCTAAGAGCCTACGAGTTAGGGATGCTCTCTCGGATGTTTGCATAATATAAAAATTACGGTTGTTCTCGCGTCAAAGCGAAACGAAAGAATAAAGTTCGTACTTGGAATGCTCGAACCGATATGCAGGTTTTGCAATATGCGGCGACGATGTTCACGCAGAAAAAGGGTACCCAGCATATCAAGAAAACGCCCATGATAACGCCCACGGTTATGGCTGCTTTGTGATCGGACACATGATAAGGGCTCGTCGGCTTCGTCTTCGTTTGCGGTTTCGGCGGCTTATTGCGTGTACTCTTCGCGCGAAAGCTCTTGGCCATTGACGTGTCTGGCAGTTTCGTTACTGCTCGGATGCTTTTTACGTGTTTCTGTGCGTAGCAGTAGAGTCTGAAATCACCAACACCAACAGCCAACGCGTTAACATTACCCAGTCTGCACGATCCCGTGGCGAATTCGTCTCGAACTTACCTGCAATAAATCCCCAGCATCACGATGCAGGGCACGTAAAAAGATATGGAAGAAGAAACTACCGCGTAGGTGGGTGTAAGGTCTAAGGCGCACGTAGGGTGTTCCTGAAAGATAAGTCGATAAAAAGAGATAGGGGACAGAAGGGGTCTCCCTCGGAATTACTCGATGATTACGGTAACTAAGTCGCAGAGGTATCGTACCTCTTTACCGTCATCGTAGACTACGGGTTCGTCCGCGCGGTGAAGGCCTAGGCTGATCGGTACGAAGGATATGAGTCCCGCGAGCAACCACACGATAGCGATTCCCGCTACCGCGACTCTTCTCGTTACCCAACGACCGTATCTGTTCGCGAACAAACAAATCGGAAGATGTATAAAATATTCTCTGCTGTAAGGATTACTATTCTCCTGTCACAAAATGGGCCCTGATAACTAAAAGAAGTTTTACACGTATTTTTCAGCCCCAGCGAGCGATTAGTTACAGCAGTTACACACGGTCACCTCAAAATAGACTTGCTCCTGTGAATTCCCAGAGCTCATCTTGTGGCTGGCGCATAGCGCTTTAACAGGCAACGAAGTTAATGAAAATTTGTAAAACTGTTTTCTGCGCCCTCGTGAATCGTCGTGAAGGGATTCATTAAATCGTTTATGAGTTGCAACAGAGCAAATAATAAATAGTACTTGCCTGAGAGGATCCTTGATGTGAATGTAACGATCGAGGGAGATCGCGCAAAGGTTGAGAATGGAGGCAGTGCTGCACATAACGTCGAAGGCGATCCACGTGTCGCAGAATCGCGGCCCAAAGACCCAGTAGCCGAGGAGATCGTTCACCCCGGCGAACGTCATGACCAGACAACCGACGAACAGGTCGGCGATCGCGAGGGAGGCCAGGAAGAGGTTTCCTATCCTCCGTAAGCCGCGGTCCGTGTAAATCGCCACGCAGACCAGAATGTTGCCCGCGACGGATAAAAATATCAAGATCAGGAAGAGAAATCCTGAAAGAATCGAGCCGAATCGGCTGGACTAGCGGAGGATCGATAGAGTTTGTTTCGAACTTTGTCGACGCTCGCCCATCGAAGAGCGTTCTTCCGCGTGGAAATAACGTGCTGCGCGGAATACCGTTTCGTCGAAATACGCGAGGTCTTCGTGCGGAAGAGCCGCGTACGCGTGCGGGCACATCGGCGATTCGATCGGCGCGGAAAATCAAACGAAACAGAAAAAACAGAACAAAGGATGAAATAGGAAGAGATTCGAACGAGTTCGGATAAAAGTTTTGCAGCGGAGAGTCTCCCGAAGGGTCGTCTTCGAGGGGCGAGTCGCGATCGATCAAATGGGAAGTTTAGCGAACCAACTAGAAGCACCGACAACACAGAGAAACCGTCTTCAGGCAAATCTTCTTCCCCGTCTGTCAGGTTATTCTGCAAACAGAACAAAGGAATCTCGTGAGTTTGACAGCCTGCGCTGTTTTAAACGACACCGTGCACCGGGTTTATCTATCGACGTAGGTGACACGGAAAACCATTTTCGAACATCCCCGGAACGAAATTCGCTCGCATCCCCGTTCCCGCGACGCGAACAACTTTTAAACGAATTAATAGAACTCGATCGAGAGTGCGCGGTAAAGAATTTTCCGCCGCTCCATTTTCCTTCTTACGCGTTCTTTTTCTTGGAGAGCGTCGCAGCGTAAAGTCTATCGCGCGTCTAAAAATGTATCACGGGTTTCTGACTGAGAACGGCATACCGTAACGCGCACGTACATACGCGGATACTTCTATTTTCTCCCGATATTTTCCCGATATTTCATGGCAAAAGCCGTAGATACACCGGGAATACTCTCGAGATTCGTATTCACGGAAAATCGATACTACAGACGGACGAAAATGACGTTGGGTTTACAGGCTCTTTACTTCTGCCTGAACGCGTTGTCTGTCAAGCCGTTCTATCCCATCTCGAAGACACGTAAAAATATCGAGATGAAGGGTGGCTGGGTAAAGCCTTCGGTTATGCGACTTTCCATCGATACGAGAACGACGATGTTCCTACAAATTTACTGTTCTTATTTTTAACGAGCTTATTAACCCTTACGCGCTCTTCAAAACAACTCGATTCTATCGACGAGTCGCATCGATTAAAACTAATATGAAATCATTTAATCGTTTTACGATTACAAGTATGAACCAACGAAAATATGTTATTCGAGCGTACGGTTTTTACAAGTGCTGCCAGCAAAATGGTTAACGATAAAAAAAATTTCAACGACACGTGTTATTTTTCTTCCATCGCGTTCGAGTTTCACGCTTTTAGTCGCTACTCGATTTTCGCTCCGCTACTCTTCCTCTTTCTCCAAACTTTCGTTTCACTTGCACGGTTTTAATATAGCGTACGTGTCTATCTCTAAGCCAGGTTCATAAATTGACGTCATTTAATATCGACTCTCTGATCGATAAACGATGCACCGGTTGTCGTTCCTTTCATTCGCTAATCGCGAACTTCCGAACGACTGCAAACGGCTCGTTAAACGAAGACGAAGATCGTATTTGACGGTAGTCGAAATACGCTTGTTCCGCCCCCGCTTTTAAGGCGATCGTATTTTTTCTCTACTGTTGGAAAAAGAGAAGAAAAAGCTCGGAACTCGCTTGGCGGTGCATCGATTTTCTGGACGTAGTGGAACGCATGCATATGCAGAGGGAAAGATTTTATTACGGTTGCCAGAGACCACTTTTGCTTTCTTCGTAAATTATTGCTTAATTAAGCGATCGAGATTAACCCGTTGAAACACGCGTTTTTTCAGACGCTTCGATAGCCGAAGGGAAACAATTCAAAATTTATCAGTCGCGTGAGTTTATGTTTCAGACAGGTAGACGTATCGGACTATCTATCGAGCATTGAAATTCCACGCCCGTACGACTCCCCCGATCGCGTACCGCCGCAACAAAGATTTCGTAGAAGCGATAAAAAGAGAGAACTCACACACGTCCCATAAACAATAATTTTACCACTTTCAGGATTATTTCATTTTCGACGAGAAGCAGAGGTCCCTTTTGTTTGTAGGACGTCGCAAAGAGCGTCTCTCGAACGCTACGTGACTTTTCTTGGGGAGTGACCGTAAGAAGAAAAGCGAAATGAAAGGACCGAATAAGAGCTATTTGTAGCTCGTCGAGGTAAAGGTTTCAAAGTTAAACTGAAAGAAATGTTCGAAGAAGAGAATCGGGAGCATTCGAGATTTACGATTCGCCCTCCCCCTGTCCCTAGGGTCTAATTGCTCTTCCGGTTGAATTTCCAAGATCCAACTTGCTCTTCGACGGTCATGGATCTCTTTCCTCTGACCCTTTGAGCAAAAAATCTCAAAGGCTCGATCGCATAACTCTATGTTCCAACGGCGACCATTTGCCGAAGAATTTAATTAACTCGTGAAATGCTGCGTTTCGTCGGATAAATCCCGCTTAAAAAATTCAAAATAACGAAAATATAGAAGTCGGTTTGTACGAGTCGCTTAACGCGAATAATTTCGTGATATTTGTAGTCGCTGTTAATTGTTGCTAATTCCGCCGTTTAAGCAGAACAAATTTGCGTAAAGTAAAACTCGTCAATTACCCGTACGCGGGACTTAATCGTTTGCTCGCGAAATATTGCACGATATTGCGCTTTGCGTAACAAAGCGTAACGTCGAAAGTCACTCGTTTCTCTCTTCTCTAATTTGTCTTTTCTTCTTGGAGCCTTCGATTACAGGAGCCAAGTTTCCGAAACTTCGAAAGGACTTAAGTTTCCACGACCATTAACGATATACACATATACCTATATACTTAACTGAATACTCTGTTCGAGTTACTGGGAAAGTTTGTCGTTTTTAGCGCTTATTTCGCTCGTTGTCCGCGATCGAGGACTGTGAATCCTTTGAAAGTATCGCTAACGAGCGTAATCGAGCGATCTCGGAAAACGCAATTTGGCGGAGAGTTCATTAGCGAAAAATTAGAGACGTATCGGATGACGGTGAATTTTCGCGGGGATTTCGGCCGTCTAACCGTGAGCGATTTTCGGGCTGCTGAAAGTTTCGCGAGTTGGCGGAAATTACGAGTACCTCGAGCGATAATCGCACCTGTTGGCCCCGAAGCTTGGCTGAGAATCAATTTCCAGAAGTTCTCGTCGACGTGCTGGCGCGTAAAGGGAAGGGACTCGTCGATATCTCGTTAACCCGAACCGATTTCACGGATTAAACGGCTGGGATCATTTTCCGTCAAATGGGAAATACGAGCAAACGTCCTTCGACTCGACTTTGTTCGGATTTAGATGCTTCCGAACTTTCCTACGATTTTTGCCGAGCCGAGTTCGCTCGAACGTACAAAACGTTTCAATCCGTTAACGCGATTATTTTCCTAACTATTCCCTTTTCAACGAACGCTTCGAACTTTGTTTCTTTAAGTGGATTTTCGAACGTTCAAACTTCTTAATAATTTGTTGCTTTCAATTAATGGAAACAAACGGACAACAGAGACGGAGTGAATAATTACGACAAAGTTGATACAGTTCGTTGCAGCGTAAAAAGCTGGATTTTGTTTGATAAGTCAGCCGAAATATTGAATACCGAGTGCCGACAAGCGATATCGTGTTTTTCCAAAGCTGTAACGAGAAATGGGAATCAAAAAAGCAAACAAACGAGATACGGGCGGTACGCGTGTTTATTCGTAGTACATACGAAAAACTATGTATAGTCATCGTTTGTGAACCATGAACTTCCCGAATCTACCTCGAAACGTTATCCACCGTTGATGTTTCATCCTCGATCCGGTTTGTCAGTCGGTGAAACATGTTCGAAATAGATTTGCGGAAACGGCTCTTTCGATTAACGTTTCTCGTTTCGTCGAAATTCATATTTTCAGCTTTTGCTCATTTTGACCGTAAGCCGCGCTCGTCGAGGACCACGTTATTCCGATTAATCGTATCCCGTAATTGAATCCTCGGCATTCGCTGTTTCGTTCCTTGGTATCGATAAATCTCTCGATTATTATTAATTTGTTTAAAATTTCCAGGTTACCGCGCAATTTAGCGGACGTCGTTAAAAAAAATATCCGCTCGGAAAGTTTTGTCATGCAACGAAACAATTTAACAATTTTTACCGAGTAATAGAATTCCCAACTTCCGGATGAAATTACCTATCCGTTTAACTCGTCGGGATAAAGAAGTTGAAAAGTTTACGAGGAACGTTGCTGAACGTGTAGCTAAATCTTATTTCGCATTTATTCTATTTCGAGGGTGTGTAAAACGGAGCGAGGCTGATAAACATTTTGAGAACTATTCTTTTATTACTGTCCATGTACGCATCAGGAATGAAATCACAGTTATGATTTGTTCTTCAATGGACACTGGATGTCAGCAATGATAAATTATTCACTTCTATTGTATGAATTTCCGTGTTTCGAATTTAAATTCATTCATCAAAGTCTCAACACAGTTTTGTTCTCAGCACTTGCTTAATAAACACAGTAGAAAATAAATTAAAAATACAGAAAATATAGGGAAACTGTCTATAAATATATAGGAAAGAGATGAATTGATAATCATCGATAGATTTCCGGTTGTAGTAATTGTTTTAATCGATGGAATTGCGTAAATTTGAGTAGAAGCGGTGTTTGTATCCCGATCGAACATAGCGCTGATAAGGCGTGTAACACGGTAAGCAAGCTGTTCAGACTGTATTGCTGGTGGTTGGGGAGTTAGGTGGGTAGATAGGTGGCCTATTCCTCGACGTGGCTCGACGGTGTTTCTCGATAGTACATATTTTGGTAGGAACGGTCTGGTCGCCGCTGCAACGTGCCCCTATTACACTCGATAACGTGGAATCTGTTCGGAGAATTCAAGGGATTCGAGGGTGTAAGGGCGCATGTCCGGGCTAATTAGAGCATTAACGGGCTCGTTTGTCACGACTACGGCACACAGTCACTGTAACGGGCGATTGTGTTGGTGGTCGACCACCTATCTTAGCAAACTGTGTGTTTGCCTTTTTTCAACTTTCTTTTCTTAGTCGATACGATCTAATTACGCTCGGCTTTTATGAACTATACTTAGAATCGGAAAAGATAGATCGACCTTTTCTACGAGTTGGAAGGTCGAGAAGAATTAGGGGTACGATACGATCCGTAAAGATCGAGCGATACGAGAAATGATCTCGATCCGAAACGAAAGGACGAACGAGGAGATGTAAAAGCTTTGACGAGTCGATAATAAAGCTGTCGCCTGTAAAGCGCGTGCATCGATGTCTCGCTACGCTTAATCTCGTAACACCGGGATTAACTGTAAATTTATCGTTATTATACTATTATGTTCTTGTTATCGGCTCTCTGAAATTGATTTCCGACGGAATTAGAACGCCGTTTCGACCTCGCAAAGACGAATGGTAGCACGGTTTCCATTTGAACGCGTT